AACCAGAAAATCAGTATATGGCCTTTATCTCAATCTGATAAAAGCCATATATGACAAACCAACAGCCAACATCCTAATAAGTAGACAAAAACTGAAAGGCACATATCTTTCATTGTACGCTAAACTAAAACTAAAGTAGATTAAAGATCTAAATATTAAAATAGGAACACTAAATCTGGGAGAGAGAATAAGCAGAACTCTTTAAAAAGACACTTATATAGACCAAGACTTTATGAACAAAAGACTAATTATATAGAAAATATCACAAAAAAATCAACAACTGGGATCTCATCTTATTAAAAAAAAAAGTTATTGCACAGCGAAAGAAAACACCAAAAGAGGGAAAAAAAACAATTTTTATCAGCTGTTCTTTGAAGGACTAATACCTAAAATATATAAAGGACTCAAAAAAGACCCTAATTTAAAGACCCAATCCAAAAAAATGGGCATTTGATATGAATACGTACTTCTCAGAAGAAGTAGAAGAGACAAATAAATATATGAAAAAAATGTTCAACATCACTGGTCATCTGAGAAACGCAAATTAAAACAACACTGAGATTCTGTCTCATTTCAGAAAGAATGGCTATTGTCAAGAAATCAACCAACAACAAATATTGGTAGGACTGTGGGTGAAAAGGGACCCTTCTTCTGTTGGTGGGAGGGTTGACTGGGGCAACCACTGTGGAAATCAGTGTGGAGATCATCAAAAAAGTAGGATTGGGGTCCCATTTGACCCAGCTTGTCCCCCTCTACTGACAGGGAGATAAATTAAGGATATGTTGGCTTTGTAGTCATTAGCTTATTAGTCTTTATTTCTGTTTATTGTCTCAGTTTCCCCCCCTTTGGACAAAAGTATTAAATTCCAAGAGCTCTGAAGACTGTCTTGCACTCCAAAATCTTTTTCAAAATTTGATGTGATCTTAACACAATAGTTACCTAGCCTTACAATTCTCTGTGAAGACTGCCATGCCAGATGGTATAGAGGGCTGGTGACACAGGTGGTAAAAACAGTTTACCAATGGACAAGGAAGACAGGAAAGGAAGAACTTATTTAAACCACTAAATGCACTGTCAGGATAGCGAGCCAGTCTCCAAAAAGAAATCACACAGTCGGGAGGAAAAATTGGGGTTTTTATAAGGGAATGGAAATGTGGGGAATGGCCTGAGCTAGCAAACATAAACAACTTAGAAATACGTTTTCCAAGGAAGCCTATTGTTAATTTTTTAACAATACCTGTAATGTAGCTAAGATTGCATATCAAAGTATCAAATTGTCAAGACCTCTCAGGACTCAAAAAGGCTCTTTAGAGTTGGACAAGAGTATATGTATGTTTTAACCTTTTGGGGAAATATATAACACTAGCTCAGGAGAGGAAAAGATTATTTACTTTTGTGTTGTTTTTAGTCCTCATTGGTGGAGTGTTCCATGTATGTCTGGTGTGTTGTGGGCAAAATTGTGTTAGCAAAAGTTTGGGTGCTGAGAATTTGAACCTTTCATCACAACACAGTCCTTGTTTTGTTTGTCCTTTAAGTGAGTACTGAAACTTGCAAATATGCCCAGCTTCAACACCTTCTAAGCAGAGAATTTTGCAACAAATCTAAAAGATGAATAAGTACATATCTGAACATTTGACTTAACAATAAGGAATGTTAGGGGCAGAAACAATCTAGCCTTCTGGAGCATCAGAGACAGCTAAGCAGTTTTGTCTGCTTTTGATTAATTAATAAGCCCAGTATTTCATCACAGTCATTTTTATGAAGATATAGTGATTACTGAGTATAAACACATGTGATCTAAAATTAGTTTTCTTCTAGTTTTTTAAAGTTTGCATTTTCCAATATCTCTAACATTGTGGGTGAGGAATTTAAAGCCCAACAAAAGCCTGGAATAGAAAGGGTATAGGTCGGCCTCTGGTGATTGAGAGGCTACAGTCCACAGACGTGGTTAATATGCATTTAGTCACTTTGATTTTCCCCCTCTGAACACATGGAGCTGGAGCCGGCCTGGTCACCCCAGGGAGTCTGTAGCACTGATTTTTTGACAAAGTAAGGATATTTTGGCTCCATGGTCATTAGCTTACGAGTCTTTTTTTCACCTTTTGTTTATTTTCTGATAACATGACCATAATCCCAAGTGTCACTTAACTATAGTTCAAAGTGTCAAAAACAGCCAGGTGTTTTATATAAGTTTCAAGCTCCACTAATCTATAGATTAGTGGTTCTCAACCTTGGAACCACCTAGGGACTGTTAACACATGCTGGTACTGTTGCCTGCCACCAAAAAGTAGGCAGGGAGCATTGGATTACACACACACACACACACACACACACACACACACACATACACACACACTCACCCCTACCTCTCCAGGGCTGAGAGCACCAGCCCTAAAGCATGAACTTGCCGTTTAACTTTTGAAAATATGCTTGTTCACTTACAGTACTTTTTCACTTACAGTAGTACTATCCAAAGAAATACCTTAGGAACATTCTTTGGTTTTTCTAAGATTATTGTATACTAAGGTGTTAGATTTCTAATACTTAGTATGTGTCAACCACTCAACTTCAATAAAAATTAGAGCTGCATGCCCCCATGTGGCTAATTAGTCACATTGCACTTTATTGGAACAAAATCAGGTGTCACCACCCCAGAACTTTCCCAGACACACTTGGCCACATTATTAATTAAGGCTGAAAATATTCAGGGACAGACATCTGTTTAATGTATAAATGAATTGCTAATATAGGGTACATTAGATTACTTTCATCCCTATATTGACATTAACATAGACGAGTTGCAACTCCAAGGCAATTGGGTGGCCCCTATTGCCTTGAATGGGTTGTGTATTCAAGGTGTGTGTGTGTACAAACAAGATGTGAGCCCTTACTTAGCCTCAAACCTTCTGAGACACCCAGGTTTCATCATCTCAGAATGATGTCAAGTACCTTGCCATACATCTCTAATTGCATAGGGAAAGAGTAACAATAAGTAATGCTAATAAGAGGGAGTACAAGGGCCGGCCTGATAGCTCAGCTGACTAAAGCTCCTGCTTAGGCAGAGCACAGCAGCCAGGTTCCATCCCCTGTGTGCCATGCCTGCCCCATCCCTGGGGCATGCTGAGACGGTGATTGAGATTATAGGCATGGTGGCGCATGCCTATAATCCCAGTGCTTGGAAGGCTGAAAAGAGAATCACTGTGAGTCGGATCTATGTAATGAGACCCTGTAGGCCCTGTCCTAAATACAGAAAAAATAATAATAATCATGAGTACCATATGTGGAGCACCTGCCATAGGCAGGGCATTGCTCTGGGGCCTGCATGTCTCATTTCCTTGCCTCTTCAGGACAGCCCCGGTGACCACTGCTATTACCGTTTTACCCCTGAAGGAATAGATGCCTTGCCCAACTGGTAAGGCATTAAATGACAGTGCTGAGATTCAAATCCTGATCATCTGAACGTACCACACTCATACTGCCTTCTCTCCTGCTGTGCACTTCAGTATCAGTGGGATCTTCAAGTCTTTTGGGCAGCACTAATCTTGATTCTCCAACTTCTGATAATTCTACAAAGGAACAAAAAATCCTGATGACCCTTTTGTGTAAAAGATGACTCAGCAGAGCATCTTCATGGAGCCTACAGATGGCTCGAAAGTGTTTATAACAGAACTTCTGATAGCAGGCCTCTTTCATGTCACCCACCCACTCAAGGGCCAGCTGGGCCCTGTGAGCATCTGCTCTGTGCATAGCATTCTGGGAGACCCAAAGCAAGTGCATCTCCTTTTCTTGTTCTTACTTTCCTGGTCTATAATAGACATGAACTAAAGATATGTCAGTTATATGATCCAACTGAAACAGGGCCTAGAAATTGGTTAAGGGGGTTTATCCTACCCCAAAATTGTCAAATTGTTTGATTGTGCTGATTTTAGGAAATGGTGGATTCCTGTATGGAAAGGTGACACAGGCTCCTGGTCCACTAGGTTTGTTGTACCTAAGGACAGTTGAATAACATCCATCTATTCCAGCCTGGTCATTCATCCATTCCATTGAAATGGGTCTGTCAGGCAATGCCACCTTCTGGCCCTTCTGTGCTTCCTGGTAATACTTGTCTTAACACTTCTGTCTTCTAACCCTAACCCTATTTTCCATTTGTTGGCCCCATGCCATGCAACCATGCTCCCTGTCAAGATGGGGAGGTGCTTGGTCAGAGGTGTTGAAGACCCACTTTGTGAGCCCTCCTATTGCCTGACCTTGGGGATCGGTGTAAAAATGAACATTGGCATTTTGCGGACACCATCAATAATGTTAGATTTATAGAGCCTGCCATCTGGAAAGGCCCTGATAAAAGCACCATGTCCCCATTTCCACTCATGAAAGGCACCGATAAAAGAGGTATTTGTCATATTTTTACATAGTTGGGATGCCTAATAGGAATGCATGAATGTGGGTCGCTCTGGATGTATCGCAGCCCTTCTGCACATCTAAGCTTAGATGGAGTTGCTCAAGTGAGGGAACATCTGGGTTATGCCTTTTTAAAAGTAGCTTTCCTGGGATTTGTTAGCATGTTGTTGTGGAAGTGTGGTGCTGTAACTCTGCGTGGCTGCGAACAGTCAAAAATATATACTTCAGAGTTGCACTATTGCAAGACAGGCGTGTCATCCAGGTACCCGTACACTATTTTTTTGTACTGCTTGTACCAGAAACACTTTCCATTATTGTTACTTGCTTTTTAAACTTTGTTTAGCCACATTAAAAAATCTGCTTATGGCACAATTTGCCTCCAAAAAAAAAAAAAAGAATGCATGAGCCCAAAGAGACCTGGAACCTCTGGGCTGTCTTCCCTGGGGCACATTGTCAGGAACCTGAGAAGTAAAACATCCTCAACATTTAATCCCTCCCATATCCTACCCCTCCCCAGGACAGCCCTTTCTGATGCCTTCTCTCTGGGTCTGGGTTTCCTCCAGTTTCCTAGACCAAAATGAGCGTGTCTCCTTTCCCAGGGCACGAGGAGAAGTCTGAAAACATGGGGAAAGCTGGGACTTGCTGTGCCACATGCAAGGAGTTCCACCAGATGAAGCAGACGGTGCTGCAGCTGAAGCAGAAGGTACTGCTGAACATGTGGGAGCGATGACGGGTAACAAAAGGAGGACTTGGCTGAATGAAGTGCAGGGAAGCTTACGGTCAATATAAAAATAAATGATCTGTATTGCGCATTCACTCTGGTTGATGACAACTGGGTCTGGACTCAGGATGCTTTCCTACTCCTGAGCTGGCCATCTAAAAGCAACCAAATGCAGTGACAGAAAAGAACTGAGGAGATGGTTCTCAGAATAGACCCTGATAAGGGGCACACAGAGAGGGTGACACTATGACTACTGCAATTTCTTATAAAATGAATGTACAGTATCATGGAAGCACATAGGGCACACTATGTGATTTTATTTTATCTGTGCTCTAACAATAGAGAGCACCCTCTTGCTAAACTCCTGTAGCCTTAGGGTCTTGTGCAATATCTTTTTCATATTTAAAAATAACAATGTGTACTTTGGGCTGTGTGCATGTAGAGAAGCAGCCACATGGGTACCTGGTGTCACCAAGGGTGAGGACTGATTTGCTCTATGAAGGGCTTCATGGTGCTTAGTAGGATTCAAGTTCTCTAGTCACATCATCATACTGTGAGTGAGGACCCTGTGATGGATCTGGTGATTCAACTTCTCAATGATCTCCTGGACCCAGATCACAGGTCTTTATATACCTGCGGTCAGTCCATTTGCTAGCTTATCAGCAACTCTGGAATTGTTCTTTCACCAATGAAACATAAACTTACTGGTTTGTTTACTTAATTGCCTCAACTCAAGTCTCTTAGTAGATCAAAGAAGTGTGTATAATCTGTTTAACTTTGGTGACCAATTCTTCTAAAGGGCAAAAGGGTAAACATGGGGAAAAAAATCTCTTTTCCATGTCCAACAAACTAGCAGCTGGCCCCTAATGAGAACCACAGCTACCTGTTAAGAAAATCAACAAACTAAAAAGAAAAGTGTCTATGCAGAGCTCTTGTGCTTTGTTGGTGATGACTTCAACTTTAGTAGAGGCACATATGTACGTATTGTATAAACAAGAGTAAAATATAGATAGGACCTAAATAGCTTGTGATCTGACTAGGAGGCCAGCTGGAAAACTTTGTATTATATGCCAGTAAAAACACAGTGAGATAAAAATAAATATATCTCACATAAATATCTATAGATTAAGCTTGAATTGATGCTGCTATTTATTGAGTGAGCCCAAAAAGAATACATGGGAAATTTTCATTTTCCAAAGGATCAAGGCTTAGAGAAGGAAGGTGATCCATTGTCTCAAGGCATAAAGTTAGTTTACATTTACTTTCCTTCCCTGGAAATGACCCACAAGCTGTAAGGAAATCCTCTCTAGTCAGAGTGATCTTTAGGAACAGTAGAGTTAAATATCACAAGTTGTTCAGAAAGTCATATGCTAAGTCTGACTTTCCCTTAACCTCCGGGTGAAATTTTATGATCCATCAAAGAAGAAATATTAAAAATAAATTTAAAAGCTTGTCTTAAAACACCTTCAAAAACCATGCTACAGATCTAAATGGATAAAAATCCCTTAGGTCATATTAGTGCTCCAATAATGTTCATGCAGTAGGGTTGGACTAGAGTTGTTCTCGGCCTTATGCCAAATTCTCCCTACAGATGCATCATGACAATTCTGAGCTAGTACTGACATTCATGGAACATTATGAAAAGCAATTTGTTTTTAAAGGTACTCGTTGGAATGTGTTGCATTCTACAGTTCATAAAGTAGTTTTATAGCCATAATATCATTTAATTGTTACCATAATCCTGTAAGAAGGATGCTTATATTCTCAGGGAGGTAAAGCAACTGCCCAAAAGGCAAGACCAGACCTAATAGCAGCTCTTCTCACTTCTGTGCTGGTACTTGGGACATCACTTGGTTCTAATATCATCTTGGTGCTGGAAGTGCCATCTGTTCAGCTCCCAAAAAACATGGGATAGCTTCCCAAATAAGTATTGGCCAAGAAGTAAGTACTGGGTGTCCTGGACAGTGGCCAACCCCACAATATTAAATGGTGTGTGAACATGTTCAACTGCACCATGAGTATACAGTCAGCAGAATTCCAACTGTGGGAAACACTCCCCATTAAATGGCCTGAGTTCTTCAAGGGATAAATTATAAAGAAAAGACAAGTAAAGTACAAACCTGAAGAAACAAGGAACTTAAAAGATCTATTAAATGAGTGAGGCTAAACTGCAATGTCTAGGTGTGCATTGTTGGGTGGTAAATTATTTTTTTAATACAAGAAGTAATATAAATCAAGATAGTGGTTAATTTTGTGAGGAAGGGAGGAAACTGGGATGGGACACAGGAAAAGGAAATAAAGTGACTGACAAAGTTCTATTTGTTAATGAGCATTCATTAAAGGGGTGTTTGGTTTCTGATGATTTACTGAAATACGTTTGTTTATTGGGGTTTCCAGGTTCTATGCTTTATTTTCCAATAAAATTTTTAATTGAATGCAGAACCCAGTGCATCTACCTCCTCCATTTTTTTTCTGTGCTGCAGAAATAAAACAGATGATTCAGTAAGGGCACTTAGAATAGTTAAAATACTTGTTATTTAACTTTGAATGAGTCTGAGTCTTGTGGGAGCACTGAGTTAAAATGAGAGCCAAGGAGCTTGTTGAACCTTTTTTAAAGTCACTGTGTTCCTGCAGCAGAGATTGAGTTGGCAGTTTGAGAGTCTCAGAGGAGGGAAACTCTAGAGAGCTATGACACTCCCAGCAAGCCTAGATTTGGTGGGTTCTGGATTGACCAATACTTGGTATGTTCAGTCTCCTTGGTGGCTGCCTGGAGAGTCGGGGATCCCTTCACTCTCAAACCAGCAACTTCTCCCCATGGTGAGTAGTCAATAGTGAATGAATAATGATTCAGGAAGTGCCTACTGTGGCCTACAGTGAACTGAAAAAAAGAGAAAACACCAATAGTATGGAATAAAGTTCTGCCTCCAGCACACTTAACTGTCTAATAACAAACCAAGGCAAAAGTATAAGTCAGTGGATGATCGCCAGATGGTGAGGGGTAGATAGACAGACATGAGAAATTTGTAGGTCAAGGCAGTTTCAGAAAAATACATTTGCAGCCTGCTGTTTCACTTGCTCACCTTTGATGTCAGGCAGGTATATGGCTTCTTAATAGATTGTGGCTTCCTCTGCTGCTTTGATCTACTTACTCTATAAATGAGTCTTCTCAAAATTGTTGGGAAGAATAATTAATTTTAAAATTACTAGGGGAAAAAAATAAAAAATAAATAGTCTGTGAATCTTTTTAGTCAAGTATTACAATATTAAGAGATGCTACTTGGTGTAATGATTGAAAGCATATTATGAAAGCAGATTGGCTAGAGTTGAATTCCTGCCCTGCCATATATTGTGTCACCCTAAGTAAGAATGTTTATACTTTTCGTGCCTCAGTCTTATAAAGTAAGAATAATACCTACTACAAGGGGTATTCACAGTTATCAAGTTAATTAATATTTATAAAGGACTTGGAAAAGTGCTTCTCACTGAGAAGGAGATCTATAAATATTTACCAAACAAGTAATTAACATTAATCACTAGCATTGTTTAAAAAGTACTTTACACTGATTCGTGCCAACAGCACTGTAAGCCACATGTGCCATTACAAAGCTATTATAAGATAATGATACTCTTAACCCATTACTTGATCCCAAGAAGAATGAAGACTCAGGCTGCATTACTATAGCCTTCCTCTCTCATACCTGGTGTCCCCATAAGCCTTTACTTGCCACCCATCCCACCTAGCCTGACAGGAGCTAAAGGGAGCTCAATATGATTCCCCACCATGGGTCTGTTGGGACACTGAGATCAACATTTACTGGCTATCTCATAATTTTAAAAAAGGAGCAGACACAGCAGGAAGCGCCCTGGGGAGCAGCTGCAGAGCCCCGCTACCTGCCAGTCTCATCAGCAGCCCTACTTGCAAAATTTATGAGTACTGTGCTATGCAAGATATGGTCATGCGGCCCAAACTTCTTGATTGTAAACATGAAGAGGAAAAGCTGAAAGGGTAAGAGGAATCACCTGAACTCACCCAGCTACTTAGGAACATAGCCAGAAGCAAGCCTGGGAAGACCAGTGCTGCTGTGTCTATGACAATGGCTAGACCCTAGTTCAGACACGTTAAAGATGTCACCATGCTAACCCTGTGACAGCCCTTGTTAATGGATGTTACAGCACCTCTCTTATAGATAAGGGGACCTAGATGCCACAAGTAGAAAGTAGCAGCCCTGAGATTTTAATGCAAGTCTGACAGAACCCACAAATGGTTTACATGTTTTAGTTTTTCAGCTGGAAGGAGGATAAAATTGGACCATTCTTTAACTGCCAGTGTTGACCAACTGGCCTGTAGTTGGAAGAAATTCACTTATGTTTCCCTCATTGGTTTACTCCAGGACTCCAGATACCCACTTGCAGGTTGGAGGAGTCGATTGTCATGCCAGTGTATTGCCAGCACCATTTTAAATAAACCCCAGTTCACAGCCATGTCCTAATGGTGTCTGAACCAATTCCTGACCTGAAGTTGTACAAAGTTGGCTTTCAAATTACACCAAACTCTGATTCTTAGTTACCTCTACTGAATTCTAAGAAATGATCACAGGGTAATTGATTGAGTGACAGCTCTGGCAGAGTGCCTGCCATTCCTTATATCTTTCACACTAGATCTCCTTAAAATGGGACCAAGGGTCTCCTCAACAAAGGATTCTGATACCTCCCTTACAACTCTGGGGAACTGAAGCAAGAAGATAGCAAGTTCAAGCCTAGCCTGAGCAGCTTAGCAAGCCTCTGCCTTGAAATTAAAAATTTTAAAGAGGAAAGAGAGAAATTTAACTCAGTGCTATGTGACTCAGGGTTCAAGCTCCAAAACCACAAAGAAAAGAAAAAACAGTCCTAAAAACAGTCCTTGAAGAAGACAGAGTTGAAGATTAGAGTCCTGGAGCTTCCTGCTCCCGGAGTATCCCTGTACCCTGCACTGAATGGATCTT